TGATTGTGATTGGTTGTATCAAAAATCTGGTGATTTTCGTAGCTAATTGTTATTAACTTAAAGATGCACATTTACCATAATATATTATCTGTGTTGCCATTAATTTAAATGTTTGAAAGACATTTTTATGTATAACAAGTGCATAGTAAACTCTATTTATATTTTTGATGCATTCGGCATATTTTTCTACACTTTAAATGCATGGTCATACTTGAGGTACAAATTTGAGCAGAGTTATATGAAGAAAAGAATGGATCCTTTAAATTATATATCATGTAAGTATATACAATTGCGGTAAGAAAAAAAATTGTGAGAGCAACTTGCTATTTTTCTCTTTTGTGGTACTTATGAGACAAATCTTTAAGTATATTTTAGTACAGCCCTCCCTCTCGTGATGTTTCCACGTTAACTATGTTTTGATATTCTTTTTTTATAGCCAGGTAGGCAAATGACTCTTCCACACCTGATGTTAAGTGGTGATAAAGTCCAAATGCGAATGTAGCTGGTACAGCAGTTATAAACTGTCACACCAACCATCCCCCCACCTTGCCGGCCTTGTATAAATTGTTACTTGTTTAATTCTGAATAGATTTAAAAAAAACGAACGATTATATGAAACTCAATTTTATAACCAAAATAAAAGAAAATAACTACCTTTTTGTAGAAACTCTTCTTATAGTACCGACAAGGGTCAGTAAAAAAACCACCTGTTCTGTATTCCTAAACTTTGGATACTGAATTTAGATATTTGATATTATCATACCAAGGAAATAAGACACTTTACGCATGTTAAAAAAATGCGAGTGAAATCTTTGCGTTTCGAGTTCTTGCCAAATAATAGGCTAGTTGACTCATGTCGAATTGTATTAAATAAATGTTTATTTCTTAAAGTATTTGGTCTAAGGAACCTAAATATATCGATTTCACTTCATAAAAGCAGAAGATTGCTGTATAAATTTAATTTTAAAAAATATTTTTTGGTCTATATTTTTTAAACACTAAAAACGCTATTCGCCACATCCGCCATGATTGTGACGTCTCATATGGTAAACAACTAAATGTCATTCGCGTGTTACTGTGGGTGGATTCTTTCGTCTGACTTAATTTATCATAAAACACTTTTAACTTTAGAAAAGTTTCCGTTTACTGTTTTTTTTGAAAAAACTAATTATGGATGCCGGCTTTGTGAAAACAGAAAGCACAAATCTGCCAAGAATTGACGCATTCATGGTTGGTGAATTTATTTCACTAAACCCCGATTTCTGCTCTGCGGAGCAGAGAAACGACAAGGCATCTATGTAAGTACAGTGTATTTAGTATTACAATGTAGTAATACACATAAAACTGATACAACATATGAATAAGTGTAATAAAGTTGCGTAGGTTAATTTCTTTCGGCACTTTTAATTCACAACTTTCCTGGAATCTTCAAGGATGTGTTTTTATATTCTCGTACAATACAATAATGATAATTACTTTATTTTTCGGGGTATTTATTAGAAATCATCTTTTGTTTATTATAAAGTCAGTTATTTTCTTACGAGTTTTTGTTTATTTACCTTTCTATAAGTGTTTACTGCAGTTAACGTCATAGCATAGATAATCTATAGACTAAAATGGCCGATAGCGTTTTTGTATGTCCATGAAAAATCTATTTTATAATTAAAGATTTGTAGCTTTTTAGGTCTCAAAAAAATACAATACATTTTTTTTCGGTCTAATAGAACATTTATTAACCATTTAAAACCTTTTTCCAAAAAGGGTCAACTAGCCTATTACTACAAATAAACGCTGAATAATAAACATACATATGTGTTTTTAAAGCGTTGAATGGCGAGGACAATTGGGTGCGTGCGTCAGAATCAACTTGATGAATTACATTCGTGATTGTAAACCGATTGATATTTACGATTTGGTAAATATTGATATGAAGATGTTAAACATTTTTTATTTAAGCGGATCACTTTTGAGCCGCGAGTGCCATAGCTTCCCTTTTTCGTTTTAATCAAGCTTCTAGCCAGATAAATCCAGTTGAAAGCATTTTTGAAAACGACCCACAACCAACCGGTCCATTAGAGAGTAAGAGGCACTCAAAGGAAAACCTAAAGTACAAACTTTAAGGACCGTATTACAGAATGACAACTAAGTGTTGATCTTAACTTGAGTACAGTTAGAAAGGGATGCCGCTATGTGCTATATATAGCGACATCCCTTTCTAACTATGCTCAAGACTAGATCAATCACTGAGAATCTTTCTATAATACGGGCCTAAGTGTCGCTATATATTTTTCAGCAAAAACAATCCATCAGTGCCCTTGTCCTTACTCCAGAGCGTCGCGCGAACATCACGCAAGCGATATTAAAAATAAACGCTTGGACAAACGCCAGCAATCAATGCAAGCCGTCAAGGTCTCGCAAAAGCCGCGATTATGTTTATAAAAAATATGAATTTTAATCATATATTTCGATATCATTGAACGTCGTTAACTGTCTAGCTATTACAGTTAATGAGATACAGCCTGTTAACAGACAGACGGATAGTTGGGTATGGTTGGAATCTTGGGTTCAGTTGAATCTTTGGGTTCGGAACTCTAAAAAGACATAGGTTGATAACGACAAATCATAACTCACAAAGAAAGAAAAAACAAATAATTTGACCTCCGTGGCCGAGTGGTTTGTACGCCGGGTTTCATGGTGTCGCCGACTCGAGAGGTCCTGGGTTGAAATCCCGGTGGGGGCAGATGTTTGTCTGATGAATACGAGCATTTGTACTCCATAACACAAGCCTTATAGTGCTTACTTTGGGGGTAGGCTAATTGTTGTGAGTGTTAGAAATATTGTATTATTTAATATATAATTACTAGCTGACCCAGCGAACTTCGTACCGTCATAAAAAAGTAAGGGTTGGCGGTAGAAGGGTGAAAAAATTGAAAAAAATATATATAAAATTGAAAAAAAAAATATATAGGGGTGGATTACCCTTAATATTTAGGGGGATGAAAAATAGATATTGTCCGATTCTCAGACCTACCCAATATGCACACAAAATTTGATGAGAATCGGGAAAGCCGTTTCGGAGGAGTTTAACCACAAACATCGCGACACGAGAATTTTATATATTAGATTATTTAAAAAAAAACATAAAAAGCACTGCTTCTGTTTCCGAGGTGTTCGTCGGAACATAGGGTCGGATGTTGAAGTGCGGGCTCGTTGCCAACTCCTAAATACTACAAGTTGGCTCTAGTTGGCGCCATGCAACGTGAGCGTGGCGGGTTTTATTTCTTTTACTACAACATCATTCATCTCTAAATAAAGTGCCAATGGTTAGCATCTGTGTTGAGAGTGAATATTGGCAGGGGATTTTACTGTATTTACAAAAAAAATATTCATAATTTTACTAAAACCCACGAAAAAGATAAAAGTTTTCTTATCTATCGTCACGTGACCCAAAACGCTTGGGATTGGCGGAGTCTAAAATGTCGTCACACGCAAGTAAACTTCCGGTTAAAGTGACATTACATTGTATCGTTTGACGTTTTAATAACAGTCGTGTGACGTCACACATTAGTAAGACGCCATATTGTCCAGGGAAACGTTTTCGCAGCAACTTGAAAATGGAGTTTTTGGTTTGGTTATTTTTACTGAAATACACAGAATGATGAATATCCACTTTTTACAGACTCCATAAACATTAGTCAATAACGTGAGATCGTTTTCTAAAACTTGTCAAATACCCTATTACTGCAATTGTTCAGGCACTACCACGTTTTTGATGTGTAACATCTTCCCTCTCGCTTTCGTGCAATTTGTGGGAGTGATTACGTGATGTGGGACTGAAGTGTGTAACAGAAAGTTTGGGAAGCGCGAGCTATTTGATTTGATTTTAGAACATAATGTTCAAATGGCTAATTCCTTTTGTAGTGAGTTTTATTTCTTTTTTTACTAATATAAGGTGAGGTTTCAAATGTTACACATCATACGTTACTTCTGTAAGGCTCGCTCGTTTTTTTGCTTACTATATCGTCATGGGTGTAGCCAGGTACGGCAGGCAGGGGGGGCAGCTGCCCCCCCCAGATCGAGGAGCTTCAGACCAAAAATTATTTCGATAGGACTACTCGTAAACAGTGAAGTGATTTCGTACGTACGTTAAGCATTTCTTGGACGTAAAATGATGGATATAAGGTTTCTTTTAAAGTATGTAGTCTGTATAATGTTACTGTGTACAACTAACAGGTATTAAGGTATTCTTAAAAATATAATTTTGCCAGGCCATCTGTCGTAGCCACACATTGCCGGGCAACTATGGCCCGTTTAGAACACAGGCTTAGAAGCATTATAAAAATAAGTTAACTTCGCTCTTGTTCTCAACACAACCCACCAGCAAAAATTTTAAGTGTCTAGCGAAAGATGGTACAAGAAAATTTACATGCAATTTCAGGTGGTCTTGAAAATTTAATTTTTGTAGCGAACATACTAGTTTCACTTGGCTGCCCCCTCCCCCCCCTAAACTAAATCCTGGCTACGCCCTTGTATATCGTTCACCTCTATCTTAAATAACTGGAATTGTTCAGGCATTAACACGTTTATATATATATATATATACATATATATATTATTGCTATAGACCATTGAAATTTATAACACTAAACGGGATAATATATCTGTCCGGAAGTATATAATGATGACTAAATTATATAAATTACTATCTGGGGAATCATGTTACATTCCTGTGGGATTCTGAACAACTAAATATAACGCGAACAAAGTTGCGGGTGAAAGCTAGTGAGAAATATATTAAACAAACGGCCTGACACGCGTTGTTCTGCACGATAAAAGTACAAATAAAATACTGAAATCTGACTTCAGCGCCACCTATCGGGTATGGGTATAAATTATTTGCTACATAAATAAAAATTTTGTCACATTTTTAAAATACAATGTACTATATATATACAATGTACTATACATATGTACTACCTAAGATATGTGTGTGCACTGACCTGGGCTACGTCCTTAAGGTGAGCTCTCTGCATCTCCAAGTCATGTATCCGTTTGAGCGCCGCTTCTTCGGCCCTGTAATGTGTCTGCAGGCACTCCCATATACCCAGCAGTTCCACCAAGCGTGGGGGGCGAGGGCTTTCCGTACTGCCGGGGGACTGCGTCTGTACCACATCAATTAGTTATAATCAGAAATAAAAAAACACCGACTTCAAAATCGAAAATGGAACTAAACGAAATTCGACTATTCGAATTCGATATTAGGTCGTGCCAAGGGTACTATATGTGCATGTGTGTTTCTCACCTTTTTTCTATTTACATTACATTTACAGACGACGGCGCCTTTAAGAGGCACACCGCCGAACGGACCTCACACCTGGCTCCCGCAAGCCTTACGGACGCCCCAGTGGCTGACCACCGAGGACCCCGCAACTCTTACGGGCGCTTTACGGCATAATATCTTAGATTAAAACAAAAAGGGTAGATACGGCAATAGTCTCACAAAAGTGATCCGCACCAATTGTGGTCCACGACCTTAATCGCTTTAGTCACAACTTGACATGCAAACGACGTACATGTGAATGCCAAAAAGAAATATTGCTAATATTTTGTGTTAATATGATAAAACAATCCCTAAGTGTGTTTTTAAAAAGTGCTCAAATTGCTCAATAACTAAAAATAAAACCCACGGCATCACTTTTCATTCGTAAGTACTATAAAATATATATTTTCATAAAAATTGTTGTTTCTTTGAATCTTATTCGGTAGTGACGTCGAGTACTGGTCGCGTGATTGGTCGGTAATGCAGTGACGCGGATCTCGCCGTCTCGTTTGCGCTGCCGTTGAAACTTAACGTGCTGTTTCGCTCGGGTCGGTAATGCAGTGACGCGGATCTCGAAGTCTCGTTTGCGCTGCCGTTGAAACTTAACGTCCTGTTTCGCTCGGGTCGGTAATGCAGTGACGCGGATCTCGAAGTCTCGTTTGCGCTGCCGTTGAAACTTAACGTGCTGTTTCGCTCGGGTCGGTAGTGCAGTGACGCGGATCTCGCCGTCCCGTTCGCGCTGCCGTGGGATCAGTTTTTGTTTGATGCAAGTATGAGCGTACCGTATCTACCCTTTTTGTTTTAATCTAAGGTTATAATGCGATTCAAATAAGAATAGGAAAGCCAATGACCGCTATCTCTCAAATGTCGATTGAAAAGTACGGTTTGCAAAAAATAACTTGGAACCCTTTTTTAGCACTCCGCTAATTCAAGAATAAAAACCAAACATTTGTAAACAAACAATAACATATATTGATAATTAAAATCGGTTAATATTTTTTTTCACTTATTGAGCTTTGGCCATGAATGGTTGATAACCTAAATCGTCAACCAAATGTCACTAAGTTGCGTTCAGAAAGTCGATTTCAAACTTTCGTTTACATAAAGGATGCATGTTCGTATGTGACCTAGTAATAGTGCATGATTATTCATAACTACTCCGGCGGTAATGCAGAAATAAGCGGAATAGAAGAGCTAGATTCTGATTAATGTTTTTTCTCAGTCTTAATAAGGGGTAGATACGCTACCCTTTTTGTATTAATCTAAGCATAATATCCGCTCAAAAAAGTCCTGCGAATACCCTCTAAGCTGCTTAGCGCGATGTGTGTTTCTCACCTGCCCCGGTCCCTTCTGGTCCCGTAACGACACGTCCTCGCTGGGCTCGCTGGTGGCCGCTTCGCATTCGTCGTGCAGTCGCTCCAGGCGCTGCGTGCGACAGTGGATGTGTTGCTCCAACCATTGGCACTGAGAGGAAACGGGGAGCTTTTATTATTATGCAAAATGATTCAACGGTGTCCATTCTGGCATGATTCTCTCAACTTAAAACTAAATTCAACGTCATTTATGAATACTCCAGTCGTGGATGTTTAATTCGTATTTCTATAGAAATATATTTATAATTTTTATTGTTTTTAAAGCATGTAACTGCTTGATGTTTAAATCTAAAGAAAATATAACTAGAAAAAATTCCACGCGGACCAGGCAGCAGACGGGACTCGAACCCGCACCCTTCGCAATTCGGGCGAATGCACTAACCAATTATGCTACCGCGGCCCTCACGGACCGCGTCAAAATGCTTCTAGCCATTCTTAAGCTGCAAGGCAGCGCCATCTCTTCGCATTATAGGTGAAGGGTGCGGGTTCAAGTCCCGTCTGCTGCCTGGTCCGCGTGGATTTTTTTCTAGTTATATTTTCTTTAGAAATATATTTGTCAGTATATGTATTCTATCCATCACCGTAGTATCCCATAACACAAGCCTACAGTGCTTACTTTGCGGCTAGGCTTATTGGTGTGAGTGTTGGAAATATTTATTCTTTTGTTTATTAGTCTCTTCTTCCATTCTGTAAATGGAATAACAAGGATACACTGTTGTCAAATTTAATTTACATTTAGAGAATCTTTTCAGAATCGACATTAATATATACGTATTATTCAACGTGATAAAGAACATCTGAATTAACAAAATTTTAAGAATTACCGACTTACGGGTCATCCTCATCCTCATCATCATCATCAGCCTATTAATGTCCCCACTGCTGGGGCACAGGCCTTCCCTATGGATAGAATAGGGAGATTGGGCCATGACCTTCCACGCGGGCCCAGTGCGGATTGGCGGGTGCTAACGACTGCAGATGCAGCCGGGACCAACGGCTTAACGTGCTTTCCGAAGCACGGAGAAACTTGAGATAGAAGATTTTTGGTCACCCATCCAATGACCGACCATTGCGAAAGTTGCTTAACTTTAATGATCGCAGCCTACGCGCTAGCTACCTGCGCCATCGAGCTCCTCCGACCGACTTACGGGTACGTAAAATTAATTTAATGCTTCATTAAATCTCATGTTTCCTCATTGTATTGTTATTGCAAAAACTTCTCTGAATATGGCCGGTACTAACAAAACTCTTTATATCTAAAGAAAAGTTTACTAGAAAAAAACATCCACGCGGACCAGGCAGCGGACGGGACTCGAACCCGCACCCTTCGCAATCCGGGCGAATGCACTGACCATTATGCTACCACGGCCCTATTCGCCGCGTCGAAATTTTGCTAGCCTTAAGCTGCAAGGCAGCGCCATCTCTTCGGTTCGAGTCCCGTCCGCTGCCTGGTCCGCGTGGATTTTTTTCTAGTAAACTTTTCTTTAGATTTAAACATCTACCAGTTAAAAATAAATAAAAACAAAACTCTTTATTTTATTAAAATAAAAAAAAAATCAACAGTAAATTCTATTCAAAATCTGTCGGAACTAAATCTTCGCCAACACTTTACAGCGTGATTATGGTTATAGTGATGAGATGAGAAACATAGATGTTATTTTGAACTAATTAACAAAAACTATCTAAGCAACTAAGCTTAAAAGAAAATATCACTTGAATGAAGCCGTACGCTGATAAAGTCGAGAATAGCAAATAATCTATAACACACAACTACAGTGCGACAAAAACTTTAATGCCCCAGGCATCCAAACCTGGGGGTAATTACCCCTCCGGGGGTAAATCAGCCATACTTCGGGGGTAACAAAGAACCGAATTATTTGGTCAAATCTAAATAATAATAAAATACTATATAATAGTACATGCGCTCCTTCTTGCTAGCGAGCCCGCGGGGTGCTGAGTGTGGGAAGCGGGGCGAGATTTTCTCCTGATGAGACGAAGATGTAGCGGCCAAATTGGAATTTCTTGGACTGATGATAACATTTTAAAGTCGGGATAAAATCTGTTTTCCTAATAGGTTACAAGGGTAGCAGTATTGGAAAGGTTAGGAAACACTGCCCTAGGCATATTAGGATAATGGACCCTATGACTTCCGTTTGGTGATCTAACAGGAACTAGGGACTTTGTATTTGATCTGACGGGGGCCCCCTATCGATCGCGGGGCCCTGGGCACTTGCCCAAAGTGCCCACTGGCAAAGACGGGTCTGACTGCAACGATATTTATTACCATGATTTTTGAAGGGAAACTTCTTTAGACACGCTTGACTTGAGGGGTAAACTGGCGAATGTGTGACGATTTTTGCGTTACGCGCGTACCGGTGACTCGTCGGTAAACAATGACCAATACCCGTCACAAAATACATGAATCTAGTGCTTGGTGAGTGATAACGGACCCAGCGCAGATTGGTGTGTGAGAACGGACCCGGGGGTAGCAATATTGAAAAGGTTAGGAAACACTGCTTTAATGAATGTGAGTGACAGTTTAGGGAGAACGCCACTGTCTACATAAATGACCATAAATGTCATCACACTAACAAAAGGCGAAAGTTTGTGAGTGTGTATGTTTGTTACTTCTTCTCGTCTAAACGGCTGGAGCGATTTTAATAAAATTTGGTATGGAGTTAGCTGACACCCTGGATTAACACATAGGCTACGTTTAATGCGGGATAATATCCCTAATAAACCGCTGGTAACACCGCGGGGCACAGCTAGTAACAAATATGACGTTCACAAATACGGCAGCGTTAGTTCCAATTTTCGCCGCATTCATAAAGACCCTTACTTTATTTTATTTGGAAGACGTACAGTTTCTTTTTAACAGCAATTATAACTATAGTCTGTCCATTATATTATTATCTTTTTGACAGATCGATCGAAGTAAAAATAGTGACACCCTATTACATAACTCATTCGATTTAAAGCTATAATCGATTTTATACTAGAACATTGTTTAATCGATTATAAGCATCGAAATTATTTTAGTTATCAAAAATACTGGTGTTTAATAAATTATTACAAAATCTCATTAGATTTATTATTTTACCTAGTATATTTGACATTATACAACAGAATGAACTCATCATTAATATCCAGGACACATCTGAAGATGAGTCCAGTTTGTATGAAGAATCTGATACGTCTGAATAAATTAAAAATAAACTAAGAAAACATTTACATAATGAACTTTATATAATGTTTTCCTAATTTATTTATTTATACGAAGATAATACATTAAAATAACACAAACTTAAAAACTACATAGCTTAACCTACTTACCTACATAAATAAATAATTTACAAAATAAAAAACATATCACCCCCAGCGCCGCCATCAGAAATGGTGCCCAAAAGGCTGGCAGCATTGCCGCGTTGGATGGCAAGGCTGATCCGTTGACCAAGATAGCTGCCAGCCTTTTGATCACCAGTCACTTCGGTGAGCCTCTTTGACAATTCCTTAAAAAGGGAACGAGCGCTTGGACCCCATGGGCCCATAGTCTCAACACCAAACGGCACAAATATGTAGTTCTCAATAAGAGCTGAATATTTGCGCCGCTTGGAGCACTCGGCAGAGGCCGCCGCTGCGCCTGCAGCTAGGGAGGTACTACCTGTATGGCACGGAGCAAGCGTATCCACGCAGGTTGCATCCCATACAAGAGAACGAGCCTGCTTCCAAGGTATGAGCGTCATCCCATCAGGTCTCTTGCCATCGTCGCGGAAGATGCCATTAGGCTCAAGGACCGCTGGTACGTTGACAGCGACAAGAGCTCTGCGGATGACGTCATCGATGCAGGCGTGGCGGGAGACTCGGCCAGCGCTCATTTGGCATGAGAGACCATGGTGTCCCAGCTCACCGACGCGAGAACCACAACGGCAGCGATGGGGATGATTAGTCTTGACGCCAAGTCTAAGCGATATCGCAAGAGACAGAGTGCTCTTGTCGAGCAAAGTCCCGATATTGGCTGAAGGTAAAGCTTGCAGCCAAAAACCAGACTCTGCCTGAAATACGGCTAGAAGGCGAGCACGCTCAGTGGCGCCTTCGGAGGATGCTAAAAGATCACTCTGAATACGCAAACAGAGCGGCTCGTCCCACTGCCTCTGAGACGATAAAGAGGATGGTGGATCCACTCCCGGGCATACCCTAGACCATGCGCTTCTGGCCTCTGCAAGGTAAGTCAGCTCCACTACGCCCAGAGAAGGGCATAATATTTTATTAAAGAGTTCGGCTGTACCGTATGCAGAAGACAGAAAAGCGGGAAGGGCAATATGGGAAATATGGCGGGTACCTAGACCTCCGAAACGAACCGGGAGAGAGGCCCGCTTCCAAGCATTATCAGTAAATGAGCAATTTAGAATTTTGGAGAGTGTCTCTCTGAGTGAATTGTCAATAATTGACAATTGACCTGGAAAAAGCCAAAAGTGAGTGCTACGTAAAAAATATATAAATTTTGGGGCGAAAGCGCAAAAACGAATCAAGTATAAAGCCATGTGGGGATTAATTTTTAACATTTTTTCGGAGGACTGCTGGAATTTTGAAATTTGTTCATTAATAAAAATAGGAATGGCATCACCAAAAATCGGGGAACCGAGGAGACGGAGTGAATTAGTATCAAGAATTTTTATGTTAGGGGCTAAAGTCGAAAATTTCTTAATAATGTGTTGTAAATGTTCAGGTGAGAATTTTGATTCTGGAATAAATACCTCGCATTTTGAATAATTTAAGTCAAGGCCAATACTTTTGAATTTATCAATAATGAGTTGAAAATCTGAGAGAACGGTTGAATATAATGTTAACATTTTAATTACTTGGTTTCAACCATACAATTTGGTTGTACATGAGTACATGGGTAGAAATAAATGATTATTTCTACCGATTATTTGTAATCTGTGGCACAATCTTAGTAATCATTATGTGTGGCACATCACTAAGTGGGCGGTACCCGTCAATGAAGTACGATATTATTTGTATGACATTTTAACGTAAACAATACAAAATTTCATGCGCGTCGATTTGTCAAAAAGATAATAATAGAATGGACAGACTATAATTGTAAAACTAAACACCATTAACACCTTATCGCACTACACCTCAAAATGAAGTAAAATTTGGTGCACCAACCTGCTCTTTCACTTGATCCAGGAGATCATTATGCTTCTCCTCCTCCTGCGTACAATTAACGCAGGACACCTGCGTCAGTTCCGCCTTCTCACTCCTCAGCGCCTCCAGTTCCCCCAGCAACGAGCGCATCTTGCCGTCTCTCTCATCTATCGTCTGTCTCATCAGTTCCAGCTGTTGCACTATCTCCTTCTCATGTGTCGCCTTCTGTTCAAGCTGACTCTCCAAATTGGCTATTACGTCTCTCAGTATGGTTATCTTTTCATCTCGCGCTTTCAACTCTTCGTCGGAAGACGCCCTTCGCGATTCCAAATCGGCTATTATCTGATTCATTTCGCGTGTTTGAGTTTCCAGCTGTTCGACCTAAATGAACAGTATTTGCTGTTATTAAATTCCCCATAACTCATATTCTTTTTTCTAATTTTGTGTATTTACAATAAAAGCTGATTATGATATAAATAAAAATATTTTTTTAAAGTGAATAGCGTGCATCACTATCTAGAGAGAACATTTTACTATCATGCAATAAAATTCTACTACCTACAAGAGCTACTATGAAAAGTTAATAAATATTTATTAAAAAACAAGCTCATTATCAATTTAAGAAGATGTTAAAAAGCTATTTTTATTAAAATTAGTAATTATGTACTACACTATACTACTACTTAAAAAGGTCGTTCCCAATATTCTATCCGCAGTAAGGGTCGTAGTCGCCCAGATTATATTTTATTATCATAATTATTTGAAAATAATAAAGATTATACAAAAAGGCTGACGTGATTTTACCTCCACCTTACAGAGAACAGCCAAATAACACTAATCCTTTATTGTTGTATTCCAGGTGTCTATAGTAAGGTTGCTTGTCTATGTATAATAGGGTATTTGACAAGTTTTAGAAAACGATCTCACGTTATTGACTAATGTTCATGGAGTCCGTCCGGAGTGGATATTCCTCATTCTGTTGTGTATTTCAGTAAAAATAACCAAATCAAAAACTCCATTTTCAATTTGCCGCGAAAATGTTTCTTTGGACAATATGGCGTCTTACTAGTGTGTGACGTCACACGTCTGTTATTAAAACGTCAAAGATACAATGTAATGTCACTTTAACCGGAAGTTTACTTGCGTGTGACGTCATTTTAGGCTCCGCTAATACCAATCGTTTTGAGCCACGTGACAATAGATAAGAAAACTATTATCTTTTTCGTGGGTTTTTAGTAAAAGTATGAATATTTTTTTGTAAAAATAGTAAAAACTCCTGCCAATATTTATTCTAAACACAGATGCTAACAATTGGCACTTTATTTTTAATACTGTCAAATACCCTATTGTGAGTAGTAGGCAACGCGCAGACGATATTATGGTAACGTAGTCGCCTATCTATAAACTATGGTGAATGCCTACTTCAAGTTGGATAGTATGCTTCGAAACCACTCTTTCCATATCTCTTACAACACGATACGTGGAACAATCGTCAAACAACATATAAAGCAAGCCAGACTTACTGTAAGCTCGTAGTCGCGACAGTTGCATTGCGAGAGGTGCAGGCGGTGCATCTGTACACACACCGTGTTAGCGGGTTAGTCACTACGCGGCGTCTCAACATCTATGCTTGTCATCACTAGCTTTATGGCGATTGTGAAGTTAGCAACGAACGCAACTATACGCAGGTTTCAGTCAGTACAACCCTTAGAATAATTATGAGAGCTTAGGAAATTTTACGCCACCAGTTAGCGCCACTGTGACATGGAGTCTTTTGTATGAAGTTATTGGGGCGAATTAATAGAAGAAGTACTTAAGTTCCATAGACTATGACGACATATGTGCTTTGACGGAAGAGTAGATCTTTCATCTCAGTGCTGCCACTTGGCGCTCGTCATTCTAGAAAACCCTCGGCATAAATGGAATGCTAAAATAGCAACATATACATTTGTTTCGTACATTTAAAACCAATAGTTTCTTTTGATCGTTTTTTTTTTATTTCCAAATAAAGGAAATGTAACATAAACTTAACATTTGGTGTTAAGCTTTGCTTGAGCGACTTTGACCAAAAGCTGAATAAAGTCTTGTTGATAAGACTTTTTTCAGCTTTTGGTCAAAGTCTCATCACACACGATTGCCTGCACCTTGATTAGAACAGAACCGATTTAACTAAACAGTTTTTATTTAAGCATTCCTTTTTTATATATTATTATTCTATGGTGAAACTATAGAATAATAATCCCATGCGGCAAATTTAGATGCCTAAATTTTGTTTACTGCGCCGTCACTTGCGCCAACTTCACAGTCGCAATTAAGTTTGAATCGTACTATAGTGACTATAGCCCCATTCACTGCTATGTAACCGTAGCAACAAAATATAGGATTCGCATTTATTTATCCAGATGTTCAGACGCTCGGGTTATTTCTACGGACTTTATTTCAAAATCAGATTGAACAAAATAAAAAAATATAGTCCTTTTCATGGTATTAAACTTTTGATTTTATTCAATTCACATTTTGAAATGAAAGTTAAGACAAGCAAACATATTAGAACAAACACCAGACGAAAGACTTGTGAAAAAAGTGCGAATTGCAAACTTGTGCATATTATTTCTATCTTCATACACCTTCATTCTCAAAGTAAATGTCAGCAAAGAGACTAATTAAATGACAAGAAAACGGCAATTTAAATAAAACTAGTTTTTACGGGTTAATGCACGAAACTTTATTTATTTATTGACGTTTCGTAGCCTTTACAGGCTTCGTCGTCAGAATTAAACTTTTATTTAATTTGTCGAGCTACCTTCGAAAGACTTTTATTGAGCGTTATAGTTTTATTCTGACGACGAAGCCTGTAAAGGCTACGAAACGTCAATAAATAAATAAAGTTTCGTGCATTAACCCGTAAAAACTAGTTTTATTTAATGAGTGATGTGCGTGAAAACCTAAGAAACAAAAACGGCAATTTTATATTCTAATGCCAAAAGAGTTGGTTGTTAGTTATGAGTGAGCCATATGGAATAAAGAATAAGGTTTACTATAAGTGGCTAAAGGTATATTTACTGACACTTACTAGACTATTTAAATTACATTAAAATAGTTAAAGGTAGAACTTATTTGCTGCCCTTTGCCATCGAACCAGCAATATACTACCAAGATACCAAGTCAGGTTTCTTGAACTTATTTAATAAACATTACTTACTGTATATAAATAAAAATAATCTTAGATACAAATATCGCAATTTGGGTGAGTAGAAATGTTAAATAATATACTATTTTATAAAATTTATTTGTCTAACAGCGATGTGAAATCAAATTCACACTCAAAATAAGTTTCGTAACGTCCGTGCTCACATACAATATTACTCTCGATACGTTTTATTCTGAAGCGAGTAAAAATGTACGTGTAGGCGAGTACGAGTCGACTCACCTCGTCGAGTATCCGTGCGTAACGGCCAACAGTACCCCTAGCACGAACCATTATCGAATTCGAATAGTTTACAAACCGAAATGTCAATGTAAAATTTTGTATGGAAACTTGAACAGCAGCGGCACAAAGTACGTAACGAGAACTAAAAATCAGTACACATTTGACAATGACATTTCGGACTCGCAAACGTTACGAATTCGATATTGGTTCGTGCTAGGGGTAGAGCAGGCGGGCAGTAAACTTTGGCGTCATCGTCTCACAGGTCAGCCGTTCCTTAAAATCTGTAGTTTGCGAGTCAAATGCGTCATCATAGAGCCTGTCAGGGTATTACACTGACCTCGTTAAGTATCCTAGCGTTGTTGTGGACGGAAATTTAGCCGCATATTGCCATTACGCAGATCGATGGTGCAGTTTCTCAACATTCACAAGTGCTCGAGACAGCCTAAACTGAATAAAAGACATCGTATAAGAGTTTACCGACCTCGTTGAGTATCCTCGCGTTGTTATGCAGGCGGGCAATAAGCTGAAATTAGTAGTTACAGGGTCAAATACTACGTCGTAGAGCCTGTCAGGGTATAAAACTGACCTCGTTAAGTATCCTTCTTGCGTTGTTGTGCAGACGGAAATTTAGCCGCATATTGTCATTAGTTTCTCAACATTCACAAGTGTTTGAGACAACCTAAACTGAATAAAAGAAAACATAATTATGGGAATTGACTCACCTCGTTGAGTATCCGCGCGTTGTTATGCAGACGGGCAGTAAGCCTGGCGTTATCGTCGCGCAGGTCGGCGAGCGCGCGCGCGAATTCGTCGCGTTCGTGCTCGCGCTCGTTCGCCTGCTCTTCGACGAACTGGCGCGTCGATCGGAGCTGACGGTTAGCCGCTTCTAGCTGTTGTGGGGAGATACAAACTTATTGTTAGCAAGGAGCGCAAATAACAGAATCATCATCATCATCATGAACCTACAGGCTATTTGAGACTATGAAAAATAAAGTACCATTTCTTGGAGTCTGTATTTAATATGAACACCAGCAGCGATTTAATAATTGTGAAAGACCAATATAAATAATAAATTTTCTAAATAATCATTGAATAGATATGATTTTTTGTTTTATGGTCACCTGACCGAGAACGCCTGAGCTTGACGCGAAGGCTAAAATGACGTCACACGCTAGTAAATTTCCGGTAAAGTGACAACACATTGTATCGTTTGACGTTTTAATGACAGCCGTGTGACGTCACATACTAGTGAGACGCCATAATGTCCAAAGAAACGTTTTCGCGACAAATATGAAAATGGGGTTTTTTATTTCGTTTTTTCACTAAAATATTTGAATTTCCACTTTTTATGGCTCTATAAACTTTATAAAATAACTTAACTAATCGTCTTCGCAGTAGTACTGGGGGTCTACTATTTTTCTCCGAAACGAACTTTCGATAACGAAGTTCAAACGAAATTTAATTTCGTCAATTTAAGGTAATACTTTATTTTAACGATAAACTATCAAATAGAAGCTTTCTTTGAGTAGGCTTAGAAAATCTACACCTCAATCTATATTCCGACGACGAATATTATTATAATTAAAAACGAGCTACAAACATAGTAAGAAAAGTGCGCAGTTTCGATCATAATTTGAATTAGAGAAGGCCTCCTGGAGTTAGTAACAGACTAAACATCGTTTTTAGATTAAAGAAAAGAGAAAATTTTAGTGAATGTGAGCTTTGGTGTGTATGGTTTGTATGTGTTAATATGCGCAGGTTTCAGTTCAAGGTATAAACTTAGAAAAATTCGGAACTACCATGCCATAGAATGAATATTCAAAGTATAATGATGATAACTTTTGACTTAACTAATGATAAACTGATAATAGTATCTGATATTTTAATAACATCAGTCAATATATCAGTCAGTGGTAGGTAAAAAGTTAATAAATATAATACTAATGTAAATAGGATTATCAGGAGCATAATAAGTACTTAAAATATTTTTTACATGACTTTTTATAAGCTTAAAAATACATAACAATAAATGTAAAATAACATTACACAATACAAAAGCTGTACTGACAATAACACACTAAAAAGCATACAAATCGATTACATTGCACTAACAATCGTTATAATTATAAATTTACGCTGCCTTGCAGCCCAAGAAATACTAGAAAGAATTCGACACGGCCATTAGGGCCACGGTAGCATAATGATCAGTGCATCCGCCCGGATAGCGGGGGGTGCAGGTTCGAGTTCCGTCTGCTGCATGGTCCGCGTGGAATTTTCTCTTGTAAACTTTTCTTTAGATTTTAACACCTAGCAGTTAAATGCTTAAAATATAAAGACATAACTAATACAATACATAAAGAAAAGTTCTACTACAAAAAATCCACGCGGACCAGGCAGCGGACGGGACTCGAACCCGCACCCTTCGCAATCCGGGCGAATGCACTGACCAATTATGCTACCACGGCCCTGATGGCCGCGTCGAAATTTTCCTAGCCTTAAGCTGCAAGGCAGCGCCATCTCTTCGCATTGTAGGTAACCCACATTTTTTCAAGTAAAACTTTTCTTTAGATTTAAACATCTAGCAGTTAAATGCTTAAAAAAAAACATAATACAATACATGTTACAAAAGTGAGTATAAACAGTGTCATGCAGGTTTTACCTTGTCACAGCACACCTTGTGTACAGGTGAGTCTGTCATCCGTTTTAGCTGCGCGTGCGATGTGCATATTACAAAACATCATAATACATAACATATTATTAATATGATAGTATCTTTGTTAATTTATATATATTTATAACTCTATCAGATAAATAACTTAGACAAGCAATTCACGTAGCTATTCGTATGTGCAATAGCAGTCTCTCCTATTCATTCCTTACAGAGCATGATAAGGATACACTGCTGTCACATTACGGTATACAGATGAACTAAGTTTTAATATCAATTTTATTCAGTAATTCACTGAAAGCAAAGGTTTTTTATATTTCTCCCCTTATTTAATAAGGGGTAGATGTGTGACAGATTGTGTGTCTTAAAACCATTCCTACAATTTGATCACATTGTTATCTGAATCAGCTTTGTTGTTGTTGAACCACAAAGCTGATTCAGATAACAATGTGATCAAGTTATAGGAATGGTTTTAAGACACACAATCTGTCACACATCTACCCCTTATTAAATAAATGCAGAATGAGTTTGGATTGGTTACTCCATGTTTTGTCTCTTTTCATCGAATGACAAATGTCATTAGACTGATATGAAGAAAACATGGCGTAACTAGTCAAAGGTTATTCCTCGTTATTACAAGGGGGTTTAAGTTTATCGTCGTTTTTTGCCAATAACAGTAACTTTTTCTATGGAGCTTGCTCTATGTCGCAATGACGTCAACGTAACTCTATTGAGAATAAAAATGATGGTGATGTTTTTAGAGTGTATGTGTCGCAGATTACAGAACAAAAAAAAAATGAGCGTACGGAACAGGAAATGCGTAGCGCCATAGCAAATACGAAGTCAAAAGCGAATATAAATTCGCGTCAGTATACTACAATGCATTTCGTTGTGAATACGTTCCGTGAATATTGAGTTTTTATCAATACGCCGCCTTGTTCGAACTCTGTAAAAACAAAGACAAAAGATAGTATATTTCATTACGAGTGCGGAAAGCCTGTCATTGCTAAGAGTTCCGACAAAGGTCTACCAGAGTCGAGGCGTAGCCGAAGGTGAGGGTTGACAGTCGGAACAAGTTGCAATGACGGTTCCGCACGTGTACTGAACAACTATTTTTATTACAGTTGCGAAAAAATGAAGCAATTTAATAAAGACAATTTTTGAAAAATGGCGCCAACCGTAAAATAATATAAGAGATTTTTTGTTTTCTTCACCCATTCTGGGTAGGCAAAGGGTAGCTCCCTTGCCCATACAGCCAAGTCTTCAGTAGAATTTTATTATTAAAATGAAAATGAAATTTAATGAGACTAAATGAAATGAAACCTTACCTTACTCATTGAATCAAATCATTAAATCTGATATTGAAACAAATTAGTAGCTTCTTTTTAGAAATATTTGCATGAATCATAAAAACTTTTATGATTTTTTTTAGTAAAAACTCGTGGCTGTTTTTTTCTTTTTAATAGACATTATTTTGACAGTTGGGAAAGAGAACGCACGTGTTCGGAAAAGGTAAAGAAAAAGCTCGAGTATGTAATAGCCCACTTCCCGAACGCTATACGTCCCTACAATATGCCATTTTTTGAGCAAACTGTATTAAAAAAGTATTTACTTTTGACATTGTATTTGGTTTGGTGGTACGCATTGTGTGTTCCGTGCGCTCCGTCTGCCTTTTGTTCTGTAATCTGAGGTAAGTGTATTCCTATTTTTAACCGACTTCAAAAAGGAGGAGGTTCTGTGTTCGACTGTTTAATTTTAATACTAATAAATGCAGCATACCTGTTGACACAAATCGTCCCTGTCTCGTTGCAAAGCATCCAGGTCTGCAGTCAAAGCGGCCACTTGATCCCGCGGGGACACAGTTCCCTCCAGGGACATAGTTCCCCGCGTCACAGTTCTGCCCACACTCGGCGTGCATCCCGTGCCATACCTGACGGTGAACAATGTTTATTTATCATTATTATATTTTGGTTCGAGGAGCTTTGAGGAGCTTGATGGCGCAGGTGGTTAGCGCGTTCGGCTGCGATCGTTGAAGTTAAGCAACTTTCGCAGTGGTCGGTCATTGGATGGGTGACCAAAAATCTTCTAACTCGACTTCCTCCGTGCTTCGGAAGGCACGTTAAGCCGTCGGTCCCGGCTGCATCTGCAGTCGTTAGCACCCGTCAATCCGCACTGGGCTCGCGTGATGGGATCATGACCCAATCTTCCTATGCCATCCATAGGGAAGGCCCCCTGCAGTGGGGACATTAATAGGCTGATGCCTCTTGCCTTTTCAGTCTAACAACTCTAGTTTAAAAAACGAACAAATATCAACTCCCACGCCATATGCTTAAGTTTCAAATTGCTTTATTTCAACGAATGCACGAACGTATGGACTTGTCTTGGATACGTTTACGCGTCGTCGTCGCGTTGTCAGTAGATATGAACGCTGTGGACTCTCAGTTTAGCCGTCTATGAATTCAACTAGTTAACGAATAAACTGTAGACCGTCGAAGCGTCGATTGAACGTAGACCGTCTATTTAAACCGTTCGTTAATTCAACGCCCATCGCTAAGTCTCACCTTTTCAATATGTATAGGAAACGGCAAGGAAATAGTGGTGTCAATTCTGGCGTGATTCTCTAAACTTAAAACTAAATTTAACATCAGTCTCTTCTTTTCATTCTGTATAGAGAATGACAGGGATACACTGTTGTCAAATTTAAGTTTAGATTTAGGGAATCGTGCCAGAATAGACACCATTTTTTTTTTTGTTTAGATTATAACGCTAGAATTGACACCATTGCCTGTTTAATTAAAAGCATTAGAAGTAAAGCAACGGTAATAAATAATAATGTGCATATGACTACACGACTGAAGTAAAACTTCTTTAGCTCCATCTGTTTGTATCACTACATAGTATAAAGCAAAGTCGCATCCCGCTGTCTGTCTGTCCCTATGTAAGCTTAGATCTTTAAAACTACGCAACGGATTTTGATGCGTTTTTTTAATAGATAGAGTGATTCAAGAGGAAGGTTTATATATATAATACATACATAATATAGTAAAAAAACACTGATAATTTTAGAGGTTTTTAATGTAAGGTGTTTTTTGCGCTTACATTGCAAACGCTGGCTGAATCTTGCAAGATAGATCAAATAATGTACTATACTCTATTGTACACCTTAAAAAGGTCTACAAAAAAGTCCGCGATGGTATGCCTATCTTTTAGGGATAACCCACAATAACCATGTTTTATCCTTTACTTTTACAAGAAATAATGGCTTCTTTACGAAGCGACTTTAAACAATACAATAATGTGCGTGCCTATAGTTATTAGGTATGTATTTAAAGAAAGTCATTGTGTATAATACAAGCCTGAGAACAAAAACTATAGTCTACACTATACTCTACACCGAAACGAAGCGAGGGCGGACCTCTAATATATACATATGATGTGTACAATATATACGTGTATCTTCATATACATATATTTCTTTTACTAGCTATAAGAGAAAAAGAAAAAGAAAATGTGAGCGCGCACTACTTTCTTTTGCTTATATCCCCCACTCAACTCCCGTTCGCCTCGCCCGAACACACTTTTCGTAACGCGTGACGCATTCACCAGCTCCCCCCCCCCCCCAAGTCAAGCGAGCGTAAAGAAGTTTCACTTCAAAAAGGTAAAATTCCAGAAGATTGTAAACGTTATAGAAACAATAAAAACAGTAAGAAACATTATATCGTGTGCTCACCCCTCAGCGATGACGTCACCGGAATTCATTCTGTCCGTCGTCATGAGATGAGCTATCCTGATCATGGCAGTCTCCAGTTCCGAACGCAGAAGATTCTCGCGCTGCAAGCATTCCGCCATGGCTTCCTCCATGTTCTGGAAACGAAAATACCAGTACAATGATAATATTTACCATAACTCACACCAATTAGCCTAGCCCCAAAGTAAGCACTGTAGGCTTGTGTCACTTGGGTAACGGATAGAATACAAAATATTTGATACATGTATAAGTAAATTTATATAGAGAAAAGTTTACTAGAAAAAAATCCACGCGGACCAGGCCGCGGACGGGACCCGTCCGCTGCCTGGTGCGCGTGGATTTTTTTCTAGTAAACTTTTCTTTAGATTTAAACATCTAGCAGTTAAATGCTTAAAAATAAATAAAAACATAAATTTATATAGAATAGAAATTTAAATAAAAACATCCACAACTAAGGTACAAATACTCGTATTTATCATACTAACATTTGCCCCCACCGGGATTCGAACCTCACGAGTAGGCGACACAATGAGACCCGGCATACATACCACTCGGCCAGGGAGGTCGTGAACAATGAGGGTGTTTACGAAATCTCGAAGACAACTGAACTCTCGAAACAAAACGACGAAACGGCTCGTATTTAAATAAATTAATATTTAGAGCACTAACACCAATTAGCCTAGCCCCAAAGTAAGCACTGTAAGGCTTGTGTTATGGGATACTAGGGTAACGGATAGAATACATATACAGTACATATATAAGTATATTTATATAGAAATACATATTAAACATCCATGACTGGAATACAAATGCTCGTATTCATCACACAAACATCTGCTCCCACCGGGATTCGAACCCGGGACCTCTCGAGTCGGCGACACCATGAAACCCGGCGTACAAACCACTCGGCCGCGGAGGTCGTCGTATTTATTTTGTATGTAACACCATTGATACTAAGTTCATTATTATGTGCACCAGCAGATTCGCTTGCAACTTGAAAACTAGCCCCGATGCTAGAGGCTATCGAGGCTTATGTGAATAACGCCAACATCAATAACTAAGTTTGCTAGTCAAGCCAACATCGATACCTAAGTTTGCCGCTGTGCTTGATCAAAAGGATTTTTTATATCTTATATATAAAATTCTCGTGGTAAAATGTTAGTAACCATACTCCTCCGAAACGGCCTTACCGATTTTTATGAAATTTTATATGCATATTCCATGGGTCTGAGAATCGGCTAGTATCTATTTTTCATATCCTTATGTGATAATGGTTGTCCACCTGTAACGTAGTGTTCTGAAACCTACAATGCGTATTCGCGCCAAAATTCTAACTATAGGGTATTGTAACGTAGTGTTCTCATATGGGTTAGGAGGAAAGTTATCCCAGGAAATTGATAGAACCCTACATTACACACCCCTAAAAATTTTTTCGGACATATTTTTTTTTATAATGTGATATTAAAAATACATACAACCTTTCATTTTACTCTTCTACCACCTGCCCCTATTTTTATGGCGGTACGAAGTTCGCTGGGTCAGCTAGTATTTTATATATTTACCTTTCTGTGCAATTCGCAGTTATCGCACGACCTGTGCTTGGAGTCCAGGTCTTCCACCAGGTCCGTTATCTGCACCTGACTCGACTCCAGCATGTTGGCGTCATGGCGCTCTGGGAAATTTAATCACAAATACTTTAATAAATAATAATAAATCATCTAAACAAAATATAACTAGAAAAAAAAAATCTAGACATATTTTCTTTAGATTTAAACATCAAGCAGTTACATGCTTAAAAATAAATAAAAAAAACAATAATAAATCATGTTGCATATTTAAATTTTGTAATTATTAATTCACCTTAATATAGGTTAAAAAATATACTTTTCTATTTTATATATATTTTTAAATATTAACAACTAAAATTTGATATTATTAAAAATATATATAATAATATAAAATGTAATATTAATAACAAAAGAAAAGCATACTTGTTCTTATTTTTAAGTTCTTAGGTTTTCACGCACACCACTCATTAAATAAAACATGTTTCAACGGTGTAGATTCTGACAACGCAGCCTGAAAAGGATGCATGCAAAATCATAAATAAATAAATCAGTGCATACATACCGTTAAAACTTGTTTTATTTAAAAAAAAATGGTTGCCTGTAAAGTCGGTTTTACGGGCGAAGATTTTACGTGACAACGTCTTTTTCTCGGTAGAATATTTATTGATATGAATATAATTAAATTGCACAATAGGAACAAGGAATTGAATGAAAATAAGAATTGCACAAATTTTAACTATAGAAATATATTTTGTTTACTAAAACATTGTACATGTAAACTTAAACTTAACACGAGAGACTCATCGTAACGTTACCGAGCGTTACACTTTTTCATAAGTGACTCCCAGCCGCAACCTAATTTAAGACGTTGTCACGTCAAAAAGTATTTTTTTCACAGAATCTCTTATCTAATAGACACAAGTCCGTCCGTCCGTCCGTGGTGCTGTTTCAGCGGCCAAAACGTAAGAGATAGATAAAGAGAATGTTTAAGTTATAAGATGAGAATAGTCTGATAAGACTACAAACCGGATGTGAGTAACGTGCACGCACTTCCGGTTTTCGAGAAATCACGTGATTTCTATTTCAAACGAAATCACACAAAATCTCCGAAGTTCTCAATTAATTAAATACATTTTTTTTTTGGTGAACATTTGGTTCACTGGTTTGCTAGTTCCTTTTAATAGGGTATTTGACAGTATAAAAAATAAAGTGCCAATTGTTAGCATCTGTGTTTAGAATGAATATTGGCAGGGGTTTTTACTATTTTTACAAAAAAATATTCATAATTTTACTAAAAACCCACGAAAAAGATAATAGTTTTCTTATCTATTGTCACGTGACCCAAAACGCTTGGGATTGGCGGAGCCTAAAATGACGTCACACGCAAGTAAACTTCCGGTTAAAGTGACATTACATTGTATCGTTTGACGTTTTAATAACAGTCGTGTGACGTCACACACTAGTAAGACGCCATATTGTCCAGAAAAACGTTGTTGCGGCAACTTGAAACTGGAGTTTTTGATTTGGTTATTTTTACTGAAATACACAACAGAATGATGAATATCGTTATTACGTACTCCATAAACATTAATCAATAACGTGAGATCGTTTTCTAAAACTTGTCAAATAGCCTATTGTGAAATCGCTCCCTATATTTATGTTAAATACACATGTCAATAATTAGTACTTTATTTTTCTTACTGTCAAACAGCTTATAGGCATAGTAATACTGACTTGTTGCTAGTTTCGCCGACAAGTCCAGAAGCGAGGTAGCCTCGTGGCGCAGTCTCCTCAAGGATCGTTCCAGCTGCAGCTTTATATCGGCGCTCAAGTCCCGCTGCTGCTGCAGGAACAGTAACACGCTGGCTTCATCCGCCTCCGCGTATGCGTCCGCTTCCGCTCCAGATTCTACGCCTAGAAACTCCAGTTCGGGCGCGAAATGTACGCGGCGCGATACGGCGCTGGTGTTTAACTCTTGAGACGCATCGGGACTGCTCGCACGGGACACGTCCAGAACGAACGATCTGTACGACAAATACATTGATAAATTATGTATTTATTTAAACTTTATTGCCCAAATAAGTGTACGAGTGACGGAATAGGGGTGATGACGGGGTACAGTAAACGAAATTCTATTAAGTCCGTCAGTTAGATGATCAAAAAATAATGGACACGTATTTTTTCTTTGGGCACTCAACCAAAAAATGACAAAGTTATAGCGCGTCAAAGTTTGGGAGTAGGGGCTCGTGACGTCACTTTTGAGTGAATTTTCCCTTATAAGTGTACTCAAACGTGACGTCATGCGACTTTTCAAATCAATATATCTCTGTAATGTTTATATTATGTGAAAAAAGAAAAAATACGTGTCCAATACTTTTTGATAATCTACCTGATAAATGAAGAAAAAAAAATAGTCATCATCCCTAGTTATGCCATTAGGCATTCTCTACCAGCCAACCGGAGAATTATTGCACACAAACTTGTCTACACTTCGGAGAAATAATGATTCCAGTTCATCCATACTAATTGACAAAACCGATAAACGTGTTCAAATGTCCAAAGCGTGTTAGATTAAAATCAATCAAGTGACAGGGAGCGCACAATCTAACGAAGTAAGAAGAGTCGACTATTGGCAACTGCAAGCCTTCAACCCCCGTAAACCGTTTTGAGGTGTCTCAGTAAGTGCAAGCGCAGGATGGTCGGCAGGCGTTGTCGTATATCTGGTTGTATAGTACGATATGGCATATTATTATGGTTACTAATAATATAAAATGAAGGTACTATAAAATGAATTTATTTAGCTACGTAAATATGCCCATGGTTCATATCTTTTGACTACGAGTACCTTATTTTTTTGCGATGTTATAATAAAAAAGGCTAGTTTTTCATAGATCTATCGATTCATACTAATTACATTGTTGGCGGAACTGGGTGTGTTTTGCCCGTTGTCCTTTATTAGCTAAATACGTATTAAAGTTTGAGGCCCTTTTAGAATATTAAAGATCAATAAATAAGGTACACATCATTTTTAATTAAAATAAGAAGATATGAAAAAAAAATCTAAATTTTTTTCACTTCGCTACAAAAAAAAGTTGATTCACTAATAAATTTCTCAAAGTTTTTATTTGCAAAAAATTGACTTCGTCCATTTTTTTAGATAGGAAATTCTAAAGAAAGCAGAGCTGTCACTTTTCCACCACGCACCGGCCGGCTTTTTGTCTATATATTTATGTCAGCTCAGACCGCTTGTCTGAGCTGATTACTCACCGCGTCAAATTATACCACAGCGCGTCACAGCGGCCGCCCGCTTATTGCTTGTGACGCGCGTTAACGAATCGTTTAAGATGGAAAACCAGATAAACGCTTTTCATTCACGTCTTGTTCACCGCGTGAAAAACATTCACGGTATAAAATAAAAAGAAATAAAATAAATAAATATTTCCAACACTCACAGCAATTAGCTAAGCCACACAGTAAGCACTAACACTAAAAGGCTTGTGTTATGGGATACTAGGGTAACGGATAGAATACATACAGTACATATTTATGTAGAAATACATATTAAACATGACTGGAGTACAAATGCTCGTATTCATCACACAAATATCTTATAGTTTACAGAAAAATTACAGTTTCCTGAGGAATTCTCATAAAACCAAAGTTAAGGCGGACGAAGTCGAGGACGACGGCTAGCTTATTTAATATTTCATTTTGACATATGACATTTTATAACTGCTGCCATTGAAAAGATACAGTATCAATTTTAATCAATTTACTGGATAACTCCAATATATTCAGGGAGTATCTAGCACCAGTCTTTCGCAACTCGCTATTAATCGCGCCTATTTATATAAGCGTGGAGTTACACGAAAATTAATATCGTCCTGTACTCTGGCCGCACGCCAGCGGCTGCCCTTTAGGCATAATAACCGCACCGATACTGTGAAAGTATCGTCGTCGTTTGCAATTAGCGACGCCTGGCGGGCACGGTTCCCTACTTAGGGGTTTTGCCCCCAGATTTAGGGGCTATAAGGGTCAAAACGGACTTTTTTAGGGGCTGGAATTTTTTGGGGGTTATTTTAGGGGCTTTTAACAAAACTTGCAATTAAATCGAAAAACAAAGCGTGTGTTTTCTTTCAGTTTTTGTGTAGAATGCACCACGATATGAAACGACTGAACTGACTGATTGTTTCCTAAGGCTGTATACATTAAAGTTCTTTGCCTTCCACCAATCAAAACAGCTAAATAAGATTTAACAGCCTGTCAGCTCATTTTCATTTGATTTTCCATTCGGAAAATGTATTTATTCAATAAAATAATTTACTGTAACTAAATATGTAACGTTTTAATTTATGAGCAACGAAAGAATTTAGGTAATAAGATAAGTAGGTACATATAAATTTCTATATTTAGGGGATTTTAGGGGAATTAAAAAAATACTTAGGGTAAAATTTTGGTAAGGGTTGGTAACACTGCTGGCGGGCAAGCAGTCTGTTTGAAACAGTCCACAGATTCGTCACATTTCGACTTCGCGGTAAAAGTATCATCGTTTTGTGTCAGCGCGTTTGAAACGGTGCAGATTTGTTTTGACAGTGGTTGCGTTTAATTAGCGATGCGGACGCGTTGTTGTAGGTGCGCGGGAGTGCGTTAAATCAGTACGTCTATTTCCGACGATAGCCTGAATGAACTTTAGAGATATTAATTTTAAATATAAATTTATGATTCACCGTTGTCGCCGGCGGCCTTCTGACTGTTTTCGTTGCAGCGATATTTATTTGTAGACTTCGAACGTCAAGCACTTGCTTGAAGCATTTGATTCGATTTTATTTTACAACTTATCTATCGGGTGACCCTTATGTAAACTTGCACATTACTTCACTTTGGTTACTCATGGTGTCGTTTAAATTTAACAAGATGAGAAGTTTTAAAACAAAGCAATCTTTTGATTGCTTTGTTTTATTCCCCATATTACAGAAGAATTCAGCCAAACAACACCAGGTTTTATTACAATGCTAATGCATAGAATCGAAATAGAGATTCCATATGTGTAGGGTGGGAAAAAAATATTTGGTCATTTAAAGAATGCTGAAAAGACAAGTAATAGAAAAGACGCATGATATTGCCAACTCTCTAGAATGTGAGTAAGCGATGATGCAGCTTATTAATATACGAACTATTGGCTACACAATCACCTAACTCTCTGGCCAGTTTAATTATAAAGTTGAACAAGAAACGCTCAGTTATAGTGCGACAAGGATCTTTTCAAAAGTGGCGAAAAATGGAAGTAATACCGCCTTCTTTGAAAACGTCATATTTCGTATGTCATTTACCTAGACAGCAGCGCCCTCTCTGAACTGTTACTCATGTTCATAAAGATCCTTATCGCACTGTCTGTACTTAATTCTATAATGAAGCTACTCACTGTTCGTGTTCGGGCAGCAGCCTGGCGAGCAGGTTGGCGAGCACAGTTCGGTTGAGTTCGTGCTCGTATACATGATAATGCAGCTACTCACTGTTCGTGTTCGGGCAGCAGCCTGGCGAGCAGGTTGGCGAGCACAGTTCGGTTGAGTTCGTCCTCTGCGCGCGCGCAGTACGCCACCAATTGGCCCACCACGCGGTGCAAACCAACCGCAACGCGTTTCAAATCGTCCCTGGACACATAAATAAGTATAGGTACAAAGGTTTATGCATAAACTAATATTATAAAGCTGCAGTTTGTTTGTTTGTTTGTTGGAACGCGCTAATCTCTGGAACTACTGGTCAGATTTGAATGATTCTTTCAGTGTTGGGTAGTCCATTTATCGAGGAAGGCTATAGGTTATATGTTTTTTTTTTTCAAAATTAGGGATCCGTTATAAAATTGCTATTTGGTAACACAAGGTGTAAAAAACCTATTTTTGCGTGCGCTGCAAAAACTATTGACAATAGAACAAAATGATGTACTATGGATTTGTAGATCCCATTAATACCTACAAAAAAGTTCGCAAGAACATATATCTAGCTGTCATGGTTTAATCACAATAACCGATTTTGTGTTCAAAATAATTATTAAATCGTCTGAAGAAAAAAAAATACGTTAAATATCTATCGTATTATTAATCTTTACCGAAATTAAGCATTATGTTATCAAGAGTATTTATGTAGAAGTAAAATACTTTTTGTTTCATCACAATCGGATATTTCGTTTAACAGTTATCACGCGTGTAAGATGTAAGAGTTGGTACCTATATATTTTATCTCGATATTTCCACGGAAACGAAAAAAACGCGGGTGAAACCGCGGGACACGGCTAGTGCATAAATAAATACTAAATGAAACATAAGCAACATTCATTGTTCGCCTAGTAGGTGTCTCACCTCTCTTTAGTGACCTCCTCCAAGTGCCTGTTCTGGTCGAAGCTGAGGTTCCGCCGCTGCCTCCATTTATCCTCGGACAGCTCGTCCCGTAAGCTCGATAACTGCGAACACAAAATTTCTTTTAGACTGGTTTTATAGTCACGCCCCTAGACAAGCTGTTTACTGCGTTTACCGAACGGGAGCTCAAGCGCATATATAAAAATTTCATTCTAACCATCTTGATGCGTGGCTATCTAAAACCTTGCGATTTTGTCGATCTTTTTTACCACGTACGACAAAACTGTTTCTAAATATATAAGTACATTTTCACCAGCAGTGTTTGCGGACCAATACGACCCGAAAAACTTCAAAAAGAAAGCGTACACCTTCCTTAAAGACCGGCATCGCATTTGTGATACTGCTGGTGTTGCAGATGTCTATGGGCGACGGTGATCACTTACATACTATCAGGTGAGCTGTCAGCTCGTATAGCCCTATAGTAATAGGTCTTTACGTATAAAATTGCCATTCTGCCGTACTGGCTATTTCAAGTTTTACTTTTTTCGCTAAGAATTCTAAGTTCAAATTACTTTTAAAACAGAATTATTTTTTGAAAATGAGTCATTTTCGTGTGTAAAACGTGTTTTTTTTAAACGTAGTGTGGGACGCCCTGAGACAAGATGGGATGATGACATTCGTAGGCTGGCTGGCGTGAGCTGGATGAGATAGCAGAAAATCGGAAGCAGTGGCGTGCATTAGGGGAGACCTATGTCCAGCAGTGGACGAGCATGGGTGGATGATAATGATGATGACGAGTCATTTTTCAAATGGTTTGGGTTCCATTTTCAGCGCATTTGTACAATTTTCATTGTCATAGGCATTATTTATTCCCAAATAACTTAGTAATTTAAATGTAAGAAAAATAACGAAATTTGTCTTTATTTTTAAATGAAACACAAACTAAAATAATAAAAAAAACGGTACATGGTTGAAAATCGTAAATGACTAGGGCACCAAATTTAAAATACACTCCTGCGCCTAGCCATCTCTTCTACAAAATGATTGAAATTCGTTGGATACTCGACCAGTTGAAGATTAACCGTAAGCTTAGCGATGGCTTATCATAAGAGCGCCGTTACCTATACGTAGCCGAGTGAACGTACCACGTGATCCGCTCCGGTTACGTTACGGGCTTACATCAACGATAATAAATATTAGACTTGCAACGAATATTCGGTTAGTATTCGGTATTCGGCTGCTTTTATTATATTCGGCCGAATACCGAATATTTACATATTATTCGGCCGAATACCGAATACTTAAATAATATATTTTGTCATAGAGAAATGATTGGTAAAATGAAAAATTAAAATCGATTGATTACGTACCTATACATTCATTTTTATTTATGTTATATAATCATTTAAGTAGTCATTGGTACATAACACAGGTACATAATCATCATCTGAATTGGAAAAATGGAGGATTCTAAGTATTTGAATTATTGTGGTAATCAAAATTTAGAAGGGAAAGGTTCTCATTTCTTTTATAATCATTTATTAAGTAGTCATTGGTACATAAAACAAGTACATAATTTAATCATTTTCTGTATTAAACAAGTTAACAGTTTTTAATTCATTCAGTCATGTGATGAATGGTTACATAATAGCAAAAGTTGGTTTTGTCATTTAGCCGCATTTTAGCTTGGACTGCAGATTAGAACAAAACAAAGGAGCGCGAAACAATCACGTCTGTACAAGTTTTTGGCGCTAAAATCCAGCCGAATACTTTTGCCTAATATTCGGCTATTCGGTCAGGGGCTTCGCCGAAAATTCGGTATACTGCCGAATATACTATTCGTTGCAAGTCTAATAAATACCCTAGATACAACAACACGAACAAAATTGTGGCCGAAACGTGTCCTAAAGGTACATTGGACGATCCACGGAGCTCCGTAAGATGATCGCGTAGTCAAAAACAATATAATGCATTATTTAAACATTGAAAGTCACCTTTAATGCATACTGTATAAGGTCTTAATTAAAACGCATGCGTCAAAGACTTATGACAGTTCGAAATGCAAGCTCGTAAAATTTTACGACTCATTGTAATATGCGGAAGAATATAGACCTCATTTGACTTTACGCGCAATTCTACTCACTAAAATACTGCGAGGAAAAGAGATAGCTATACGGCGACGTATAACCGATCATGCATTTGAATATCACAAATATGTTATATCAAGGCATTTTATAGTACATATTATAATTAAATTTGCTTCAAATGCGTTAAAATAACAAAAAATAATTAGATACTTGTCTAAAAACGACATTTTACGTACTATTAGTATTTTTTTCGCAGTTTTTTACGGAACTCTACGGCATCTTGACTTTTCAGCGGCCCGCGCGTGACTGTGAACCAAGAAGTGCTTGAGTGGAGTTCAAGCACTTTTTGTTTGGGGACACATTTTGAACGCTCGTGGTGTATATAGGGTATTTAATATCGTTGGCTTACATGCAGTATTCGCAGCCTGAAATTTTGGAGTGGTTCACCAAATACGATTTGAACATATTAGTCCAAAAGTGGGAATTTTTGGCCTGCTGTCTTTCATATGGCTTAGTGTATGTAGTAACTTCGTTGTATCTAATTTCCAAAATATCCATATATAACCTTAACCTGCACACCGAAAACTTTGATACATACCATGAACTTCCTCAAAATCACCATGATTGGAGCGTCACATTTCACATTCACTACATTTTTATAAGTTCTTCTTGTTTACATTGGAACACTTGAAATTTAACGACGTCGATCAGCTATTACAGTATATCATCATAAAATATTTGTTTAGCGAACGTCTAGTAATAACATACATCGCTAAACCGTATTAGTGCCAAAACAAATTGTTATCTAACACCTATCAATAGAACTTGCGTCCATAATAAACTTTCCTCATACATCAATCCCGTTTGAATCTATACAAGCAATTAGTCACGCCATATTTTTAATCACAAACAACTTTATTTTGATCCATTTATCTCATTTATACAAATATGACTACGGGTCGAAATTTCTTCTATGCCTCATCAAACACTTAAAAATAATAAATATTCATAATTAAATCCCAACTAAAATAGCCTATACATTTATGAAATTGTAAAGATATTATTTACTAGTGTTCGCCCGCGACTTCGGACGCTTGGAGTTAGTTAGAAATAAAGGTTCACTGCTCGTTCCCCGTTGTCTATATGTTGACCCGACTTCTTAATAATATTCGTGCCAAATTTAAAGTATATCCATGCAGTAATTTTTGGGTTTATCCCGGACAAACATACAGACAATCAGACAAAAATTCTAAAAACTATATTTTTGGCTTCGGTATCGATTATAGATCACACCCCAAGTATTATTTTAAAAAATATTCATTGTACAGTTTTGACTTTCCTACCATTTTATTATATTTATGGATTGAAAATAGAAACATTGCATTTCTATTTTCAATAAATAATATTAATAGTTTTAAAGAAAGGACAGCATAATTACCTAAGCACTTTTTTCTCTTCTAAACAATTGACTGACTCCACAAAATTCGTTCATGAAACATTGTGATTGCCTAAAATTACACACGACTGTTTTAAACATTTACACAGAGCTTATCAATACCTTTTCTCTTTGGTGTTGATGAAAGAACACGGAAAGACACGACACGACCTATGTCCATCAACAATGGCAAACTCGGTCGCGTAAAACCCTATCTTTATCTTCCTACCCACAGAAAAAAACATGTACAAAACAAACCAGCTGCTCACACAAATAAAACGTATAGAAAAACACGAAACGGGGTACACGTGTAGAAGGCGCGCTTGGGGGCACGATAAGAGAAACTGACACGTATAGCCGAAGATTTAGGGGTGGTTTTACTTTGTTTCTTTGGTGTGAGCTCAAGACGAAGAAAAGAAAAGGATTTCGATTCATTATGTTTTTGTTTTAATTTTAATCCTCATAATATTATTTCATTTCATTTTACAGAGTAGCACTGCTGATCATAGATCATAAACTGTATGAGTGCCGGTTTTTATTTAAATCCGTTCAGCCGTTTTTGCGTGATTGAATAACAAATAGTAAAAACTAGTTTTATAAGAATATCACAGGAGTCTTATATAAATATTATGTATTTTTATAATAGTAACTATTGTTTTTGTTTTGTAAGTAATTTGTAACTAATCGTTATCCACGGGAACTCTGCCGACAAACTATTATAATAGCTTGGCAGATATTTTCATGTATAAACAATGTGTGTACTTAGAAAATCAATAAAAAAATGTTGTTAGTCTTCTCCTGTTAGCAAACACCAAATCATCGAATCATGTGTGCTACTCCTACGTTTATTCAACTGATAATTGTTTCTAGGACTCTTTGGAATCTATGTGCTTATCTATTGCGCAGATCTCCACCCTTGCTATGTGATTCTCTCAGACCAAGAAAAAGTTTTTCTTGGTCTGAGGTGATTCTATGTGATTTCACTATTAAAATAGCAATTCACTGGCGAATAATCAAAATCTTCCGTTAGAATCTTAGTTAAGGTATTGTCAAGTATAAATATAGGCTTGCAAAGTTTTTTACTGTTGTGCTAAAAGCAATCAGCTACTTATATTAATCGAAAGTCAAAGTCAAAATATCTTTATTCGAGTTGGATGCACAATACAACTATTTTGAAGTGTTCATATTTTTCCGCCAATGGAGAAAAACTGGAGAAAAAAACTTGCCAGCGTTTAATAATTATGTAACAATATTTACAAAATATTAAATTGTTACGGTGTCAATACAAAATCATATCATCTTCATCATAATTATAGAAATGTTTGGAACATTTTAAACCCAAGTATTATTGTATGAAATATAATCAGACAATTTATAATTAGCTTTAGTAATAAGATCTCTTTTAATGGTAGTTTTAAATTTTCAGTTTTAGTGGTAGTTTTAGTGAAGTTTCACTACTACATAACTACGGTGAAATGAATTTCTACATTTGTATCCCAAATTTCATTTGTTGTGCGGCGAAACAATTACCTTACTGTTATCTACAGATACGGTTACCAGGTGGCCGGGAAATACGGGATTG